ATCATCGATTTTTCTTTTGTTAGAGAAATAATGCCGATGTTATGCACAGCTGGTTAATAGTCATGGGAAATGTGATTGGATTTAAAAATAAAGAATGAAGAGTTAAAAAACGTCTTTGAACACATTTTATTAGAGAAGAATTTACATCTGTACTGGGGTCCCAGTGCGTTGAAGCACTCTGAAGTATATCGAAGGGATCTTAAAAGGTAACAGAAAATTGCCTTAAGAAAAATGGATAGCTAAAATTCTTTAGATAAGTGTAACACAAAATCAAGTAACTGAATACCGTTCAACACATTGATTCAGGTAACAGTTTAGCCTAGAAATGAATACGATACTTAAATCTTTTATACAAATTGCCGAATCATGATTTGAGTTATTAATGACATAAGTAAAGTCAATAGTAGATCGAAACTTAGAAATAAAGAAATAGAGTGGCTTTATCAGCATTGAATAGTAATATTCAATGGAATCAAACCAAGTAATCGTAGAACTAAGTTAATTTTCCAATGGAAGACAGTGTATCAACTAAGGTTTTTGAAGTCATCCGTTTACGAATAGGAAATCACATTTTCAATTCCATTAATGAACAGTTAAAAAAATCGAAGGGGACAAGTGGCCATTTTGCAGAACACTCGAATAGATTTCTATAACATAGGATGTTTGTCCAAAAACTTTAATACATTATATTCTATACAATAAATACGATTAAAGCCAAGAAAGAACAGGCTAATCAAATCCCAGAATATGATGATCAACTCCATCAAAATCTTTAGTTAGGTCCGTGAATATGACATCAACCTGGATGAGATCCTCAAAAGATTTATTAATGTAATTGTTAAATACAATTACGTATGACAAAACTAAGTGACTTGGTCTAAAACCATATTGTTCGTCAATATATTATATTTTTATTTATATTATATTATATATATTTTTGACCAATGATTTAATATTCCGTAATACTGATAGCTTGGCAATATGAATCAACCTTTGATTTTATATATACATAGACCTACTTCTGGATTCGAATACCGGAATGACAGAGCTCATCTTCAACATGCTATTTAAGACGTTTATACAACGCCTGAAAATCAACCATAAAGGATATCATAAAGCCGATCTGATGTTAAATAAAAAAGTACCTGACAAATTATAATATATTAATATATTATAATTATAGTAAATTATTAAACAATTAAAGTTCATGTTGATAAAGTGTTACGTAAAATGTATTGTTTATGTTCGGCTCTGAATTTATTGTTAAGTAAAATGGTTTGAATGATATTTTATATATCAAAAAATATATCAACAATCAACTTATTTACGGGAATTTGTAAAATTGAAGCTATTATTCCGAATAGTAAATGTTTGGGGCATTAATGTATTTAATATTTATTATGGATAGTTTACTAATACATCACAGGCAATCTAATAAGATAGAGAATCAATGAAACTAGAATTTAATAAATCATTTACATTATACATTAAGTATTTGAACAAGGTGAATAAATCGTAAGAATTAATTTTATTATGAGCTTATAAAGAATGATATATTATTGAATTAAAAATAAAATGATTCTGAATAGAGCTCATTTATCGATGAATAAATTACATTTTGTGATGAAACTTTAAAATATAACAAAAAATGTCGAATCAAGTTTTCCGAGGCGTGTCAAACAGTGTCAAAAATATATTAGATTAATTCTGTTGGATGTTGGTTGAATATTTTATTTAAATTCTCAACTTTATTATATTATTTGTAGTTTAATATATTATGTAAAACTATAATAAGTAAAATATTTTACTATTAAAATTATAATTGATATAAAATTATAAAAACAATTTGTAATGTATAATTAAAATAAATAAAATTTAAAGGTAAAAATTAATATGTATGTATATATTAAATATTAGTATTAAGCAAATTTATTTATAAGATAAATTATGTCTTAAGAAAATATATACTCCTTAAGTTGAATAACTCTTATGATAAACTATGCACATGTACTAAATGTATGTGTTGCTACTATACTTTCAAAAGTGTATTATAATTTATTGTTGAGCTACAAAAGAGTGAAAATTATTTTATAAAACTTTTACAATGGAGTTAAAATAAAAACATCTAATTAACTTAAATTCTATAAGCAAGGCCTTAAAACATTATGTAATATGATAATAATGTATAAACATTAGTTTTTTTAAAAAGAAAGATGAGTTATTTTTGAAACGATCAGGACTATATTTTATTTTGTTTTTGGAACTTATAAGTTAAAAATTAAATTGACTATAACTATAAAAAACAAAGAATATTCATAACAATTTATCATTGTTAATATTTTTTTTTTTCACAGATTCATTTAAGTTTTAATTTTAAATTAATTGTTAGTGTTACAATTGTATCAATTTTTTATTTTCAATTTAGACTGATAATTGTTCTTCGTTTTAAAAGAGGAAACATGTTTTCGAATTTTTAGTTAAAATTTTGATTTTTGTGCAATTTTCGACCAACGATTTAGGGGTATAGGTTCTATATAGATAGATTTTAGTAGATTTATGTTTTCCGTTTATTTCTCATGCACGAATATATTATCCGGACTTTCAAAGTTGTGAAAATCTGGTAGAATTTAGAGGGTGTTTAAGGAAAGATGGGTATTGAAAATTGTTATCCATTGATACTTTCGATTAACATTGAAAATTCCGGTGGAAGTTCTCTACTTTATAAGATTTATGAGTGGGCTGTTTACTATAAATTCGAGTTAAGAGCCTGTAAGTGCGTAGAATGGTATTAATACTAATAATATTTATTTCTGGAGTGAATTGGACAAAGAAAACAATTTAGCTGCAATAAAGTTATTTTTTAGTTGTATAATTTCATCAAATTAAAAAAAATTATTAATATTTATTTTTCATGCTCACACATTTTTAATAAATACATGTTTTTATTATTTTATTTTTTTTTAATGTAGAATTTAATCATTGGTATATATATATATATATATAATTTACATTTATATTCAATAGTATTGTACCATTTTAATATATTTTAACTGTATAATATTAAATGATCCATTAGTGTATCAGCTAAATTGGTCTTCGAAATCTGAGTTTTAAGATTATGTTTTTGGAGAGTTCTTGTTTTCTCTATTAAAATATTTGGATAATTTCTGAGTTAATAATTAATATAAGTGCTATGAAATCTGATTTATTATGAACCCATAGTGATCTTTTGAGTTTTCTTTTAGTTTGCCTGATAATGCGAGTGGTTGATTGTGAGTAAAAGTTTTGTTTATTTACTTTAAATCAAATAATAATATAAATTTCTAATAATTGGGCGACTTAAAGTTTTAATTTTGTTCTTTATATTAAAGTGATTTGAATTCGATACTCATGATTTGTGGATATATATCCATACTCGTATTGTCAAAACGTGTCATACAACATATACAATTAAAATGTATGAGATACTGCTATTGTGCTATACAATATAATCTGCTATAATACAATTTTTTGTAGGAACAATTTAGAACAACTTTAACCTATAAATTATATATTTTAACAAAATATGTAAATATGAGGTACATTTAACTTTATTAATCTTATATCATTTCAGATGAATCGATATATTAATATTTAACAATGGCATAAAAAATTGTGTTTCTATAGAGGTACGTTATTCATAATGACATTTTATCACAAATATCTAGAATTTCTACAGGTACAATTAAGTATCTATATTAACTATCCAAGTAACAAAAAAAAAAAAAACCATTGAAAATCAAAAGTGTTTCACTAGGTATATAATTGAATACTAATTATTTACGCAAAAAAAAAAAAATAGCATACATTTAAAGGGTGAATGAGGCTGGTGTAATGTTATTCCTGTCCCACTCACAGAAAATTCGACTTTCCGGAAAAACTAGTAGAGTAAAAACTAGAAAAGTGTCATCAGGAATTTACAGGAAACGAGTACTAATTATTGGTGTACAAAAAAATTACTAAATTAAAAATGGTGGTGTTATAGGTAACGTACGTACAATATCCTATATGAATAAATTATTAAAACTTTGCGATCGCGTCGCTATTTTCTGAACTAAGTGGAGTGGGAATCAATTTATTTACCTAAACAGAAAAGCAATACAGAATGTACGATGAGGTAAATTGAGTTTGTGTATAAATCATCTCAACACTTGCTGCATTATGTATGGTCTGTGTATTTGACGGTTAGAATTTGATGGTATCATGCACGTACGAAATCGTTACAATAGAGAAAAATTTATTCGGTTATCAAATCGAATATATATTAATTACACGACCTTCTAATTATATGCTACATTGATTGATGCATTTTAATATTTGGTGTACGATTATATTTTTCAAATTTTCTTTATTTTGTTCCCCCCGCACGGTATTACTTGTTACGTGATTTTAATTGTAATGCAATTCAAAATGAATGCATCTTGATTAAACTCTGATTAAGTCATTTTTCGAGAATATTTTTTTCCGTCCACGACACGAACGTGGTGTCGCAGAGGTTGACAGCATATTTTATTTATTTTTTTTTTCGTTATGGCGTCGAAAAAAAAAAAAGGAATTATAATAATAATAAGATATAAACACGTCATTATAAACGTTCTGAAAACGAGATCCGGTTACGAAATGTCGGTGTCCAGAGGTTGAGGACGAAACCAGTGAGCTTTTTCCACACGCACACACACACTGTCACTCTCTCTCTCTCTATCTTACTCTCTCATCTACTACGTACAGGCGAGTTTCTCGCTCGGGCTTCAATTTGTTTCTTTTCCGCGAGCGAAACCGCAAGTTCGTCTACCGGTACGCGGCGGCGGCGGCGGCGGCAAGGTACAGGCCACGCCCACGCGACGTTTGCGCACCACGTTTGTCTCCTGTAATTGGTTTAGCCGCCGGTGGGGCGACACACGCGGCCCGCGGCGTTCTCGGCAAAGGCGGCGGCGGCGTGGACCGGCGGCGGAGCATCGCCCGCGGACGACCACGGCGGTCCCGTCAGTCGCGTGCCGCCGGGGGACACACACACACGACACGCTGCGCGCCGTGGCCACGCAACCGCACAGTACCGTCGTCGTAGCCGCCGCTGCCGTCACTTTGCCACGCGAGTTCACGCCGCGAACTTTACCACGTTGCTACACGCCGATGCGACGATGAAGCCGAAGTTTGGTGGTGGCCACCGCCGCCGCGTACCGATCATGACGTGGTGCCGAGCCTCGTTCGCGGTGACGGTCGTCGGACTGTTATGCCAGTTCACAACGGCCGCCGCGCCTCCAGGTCAGTTCCGCCGCGTTTGCCGTACCTTCAACCAGTGACGGTGCTAGAGTTTGCTAGGCCCCGGGCAAAATAAATGTTGGGTCTTATAATTTATATTAATAAAATATTTCAAGTTCAGTAAAATCAGAACCACGGGGCCCTGGGAAACTGCCCCTATTGCCCACCCCTTCGCGCCGTCCCTGCCTTCAATCCCACACACTTACGTTCGGTCATCGCGCGCGCTTAATTAATAATAACGATTATTGTTTCGTTCGCGCACCCCTTCGCCTTCCCTTTACCCCTAAACAGAAAGTGTACTTCGACGGTTCGTTGTAGGAAAAACACGTTGATCGTCGCCGGTAACCACGTGCTAAATATGGTATTGCTGGTCGGCCGAATATTATTTTCTCTCTCGTTGGTATTTTGTGGTTTTTATTTTTTTTTTTTTAATTTACATCCTTCAAGTCCATCTACGATCAATGAAATACCGGCAAAATATGGCAGGGTCGTGCTTCCTGTAAAAAATCTTGGATACGATAGGTGTTTTTTATTATGTATTTGTGTGCGAGCACGCACATCGTGTTACGTGCAATTTTCAAGCCTACGAAGTATAAATAAAATTATATTTTCAAAATCCATTAACGAATTTTAAATCATGTTTGTCAACAGGACATCGAGGCTATTTAATTCGTACACTCACTAGGTATACTAACTACTACTAATTTTGATAAGTACCGTGAATGCATTTCTATTCAATCATATTTTTGAAATAAGAAATAGGGAATTATATTATAAGATATGAGTAAATTTATGTATATTATAATATATCGATCACGAATTTTAGTTTTTTGAGTAGGTACACCTTAAGAATTTTTAAGAAAACGTATTAATTTATTGGGTTTATTTTCTTAGAAATGTTCGAATAAATTATAATAAAAGAGAAACATGAATAAAAAGAAATGTAAAACCATTTATAAAATCGGACATCGACATTGTTTAAGAAAAATCGAGCTTATATTGCGTTTTATTTCACTTTCAGATTTAGTATGAATACATGAACTACCTAGTAAAATAATGGAATACAGTAAGTGCTCTATACTAGAACTGTGTTTCTTATTAAATTTGTATCTTGATTTTATTGAATATATGTTATTTACAATTTTCGAAGTTAACTATAATTTTTTTTAAAATTTTTTACTAAAAAAAGGATTATTTATATTTATACTTTTATACTCAAATTAAAATAATAACCACTATAAAAATAAAAGTTCTTTTTGTAAGTTTAGTTAACATTATGTTAGAATTTTACGAAATATACTTCTATAACTATTTTAGTAAAAATGATAATATAATCTACATGATTAATCATGATTTAAAGAAATAAAAACATCAAATCTTGTCTTGATTTTAAATTAAAAGTTTCTTATATAAAAATGTTTGGCATTTGACCGTCATTAATTTAGTTATTATTCATTGCAGTTATTATTTAGTTTCAGTTTCATTTATTTGGGGGTTAGAAAACCCCAAAAATATAACAAAGCATTTATTTTTACTGGTTTTTATATACAGTGAACTCAGATTTTACTACTATACTCTTATTATCTTGATTTCCAGAAAAAGATAATGTCAAAATGTAAGAGGGTGAGTAGGAATCATTTGTACATGAAGACGATTATATGTAGCTAATTTTACACCCCAAGTGAACATGTTCACTGTTATTTCAGTTAATACAAATTAAGATACAGAAAATTTATTTAAACTTTTTGCGAATAAGGAAGAGGTAGGAATATAATGAGTGAACAATAATTTTAATAAATATTTCTATAGTAGTTGAACAGGAGAATTATTAAATTAAAAAAAATAATCAAAACATGTAATATTTTCTATACACACATTCAATAAGATACAAAGACTAACTTCTAAACAAAAAGTATTTTCACTTTTTAATACTAGGTCATAGTTTATATTATCATATACATCATAAGATATTTGACAAAAATGTTTAAAAAGAACTTCATTTGTGCTTTCCAGTGTTATATGTATCCATGCTTTGTTGTAATTTACATAAAGTTTTAATTGTACCACACTCTCTGTATGTTACCAGTATCCTATCTGAAATTTAATATTTTTATTTATAATCGTTCTTTGTTAAAACGCTTACCGTTTGCAAATATAAAGGAATAAATTTTCACTAGAAATTATCAGAATTTTATACATATATCCTGTGTTATAGTTTATTTGTAAAAACAGTAATAAGTATTAACAAATAATGAAAGCGATTTCATCGGTAAATAAGGTCAAATGTTAGAATGCATTTCTTTATGCGATGATTTATATATTTACATTCTTAAAATAATTAATGCATTGCTTGAAATTGATTTAATCAAACTTATATTTTTTAATAAATAAATAATGAATAAGAACTACGGTTGGCTCGATTTACGATGTATTTAAACTATAGAGGGTTTAAATTTTGTAAACAATAAAATGTTAAAACGAATTATACGAATTGGTCCCAGGATAACATAAGAGTAATATTATTGTGGATATGAAAAATACAACTCGTGGTTGGAACCCGTGTCCCTACAAGAAATTATACGGGATTTTCTGATTAAGTACGTCGAAATATCCGTGTAAGGATTAACGATATGCAACAAATGTTAAAGCATTATTTAGTTGGAAATGCGTGCCTGGGTGTGCATTTTACATACGCATATAGTTTTTTTTTCTGGGTTTTCTCGTTTTTCCTTTTTTGGACGAGTCGGTGATTATTTTACGAATGCATATATTTATGTATATCATATGATCATGATGATATGCACGAGAGTTGGTTAGTTGAATAGTATAACATGAATATTCATTTGTCGCCCGGTGTATAAATAACGTGACCACTTTTGTGGTGAGTACTTTCCGGATGGAGCTCTTTCTAGAGGGGTCGAAATTGTTTTTATATTTTACTTCGAATTTAAACTTTTTTCGAACCTTTTTATCATAATACTTTTTTACTGACCTTAAATAATTCACGCGCGTCAGTTGTGTTACGTAGAAGTTAAAAATATTATGATTTTTTAACTTGTGAAATGTTAAATTATGTAAGTAGGTATTAACTTTATTACGGAATGTATTCATTCGTATAAAATGTTATATAATTGATTAAATGCTGTTTTTTGTTGGTAGTGTAATTTTATGTTATTTTATTGTTCCATTTAAAATGTTGGACTCATTTTTTAGTAATTCAGAATTTTTCTACGATCAACATTATTGTGATTGACGTTGAATATATTTTGAATAATATTTCGTGTTTTATACATTTAATTGAGTGGATATAATAGTGAAGTACTTATATCTTAACATATGTATTTTGGATTGTTTCATTTTTATGTATTATAATGTATTATTTTAGGTACTTCAGTTCAATTGTTTAGAAAGTTAAATCGAAATATTATTCATTCATAAGTGTTAATGAGAATATATTACAGATCATTATCATTATTAATTATTAATATATAATAAGATTAATCATTTATTTTTTATCTTTGAAAACTATAGACCATTTAATATTGTATTACATTACTTATGATATCAAAGACAAAATAGTTCTGTATAAAACAAAATCAAGTAAATTAAAAATTAAACTTATACTTGATTTTTAGTAAAACAATCATTTTTTTTTTTATAATACATTATATGAATACATCAAAACCACAGTTTTAAATTATATCACAAAAATACAAATAATGTTACTTTTTTTAGTATCGAAACATAAAGTTTTATAACATAGATATTTATAAATAGTAGTTTAAATTATAAAGTTTTATAACTCATGATAAAAAAATATTTTGTTCATATATTATTTGATATACGGATTAAGCAATTTATTATTATTCGAACTCTTATTATGAACAAGGTTGGCGCTAGTAAATACTAATAGGGGGAGGAGAGTTATAAGTATACAAATTTGCCGATTACTTTCTAAAACAAAAATTCTACAATACTAATATTACTAAATTTGTTGATGATTTCCGACTATATTAAAAGATCATTCATAGGGAGGGGTATTGAAACCTCCTCCCCTATCTCCCTCCCTAACACTAACCTTGATTATGAATAGAAATAATTAACAGTAATATCGTATTATTTTTAGTATTTATAATATAGTCGTCTAATACACGAATGTACTTAAATTGCCTATCCGGGCCGCCGTGTCCAAGATTCCAATAATAAAATATTACCGCATGCATGTATGGTATACTCTTTATTTTGACGAATAACAAAAGTGTAGTCATAATAAACATAAGTCAAGAAATTAACACGCCAATTAAATGCGTATCATTCACTCCACCCGGTCACTGTTGTTACGGCATTATGCACACTTGTTTCGCATCCCTCGCGGTCCAATTATTAATCTGTCAAATAATATGATTTCGATTTTATTATAGTGCCGTTTAATGAAGTATGAAATAGTGACGGATTATTTGGTATGTACACATGATATAATCGGCTTTAAGTGCAATACGCCAACGGCGTGTAATATAATGCTTTTCCCGGCCAACCCTTTTCCTGTTGGATTAACGATGAAATTTACTAAAATACGCATGTTTTATCGTGCACGAAATGCGGTTAAACGGTATATTAATGAGCTAACAAGTAATACGATGAATAATGCACGTGTACAAAGATAACAAAAAGTATACAATAGAACTGAATGATTTGTTAACACGGAAGTAATAATAATAATGATATTTACAAGGATGTTTTGATGTGTAAGTAATAATTAATCTCAATCCTTTTTTTGGAAATACTAATAGTTGTATAGCCGTGGCAAATATAGTCATTAGAAATTTTAAATTAACGGTATTATTGACAAATAAACTTATAGCTAATATTCATAAATATAATTGACGCTAACGATTTGTAATATTAATAAAAAAAATATCGATGTAATACTATTGTAAAGATTAGTGGTGAACTATTGTTGTTAACACTTCGAACCATTTATATTCGATTGTTAAATGGTATAC